CAATTTCTGTTAATACTGTGGTTGACACCCAAAATGAAACCTTCGAAATCATGTTCAGTTTCCATATCGCTCTCATTTCTGATATTTACTTAAAAATGCCTGCCTGTTTCTCCTGTTGCCGTCCCATTTTCATTTTCCTCTCATAGTTATCACTGATGATGCCATGCCTACACTGTCAAGTATTGCAGCAGAATAGCAATAAAGAGAGTCTAACAAACTGGAGGGTAGCCTGTTCCATTGCTTTTTAGCATTCCTCTGAGCCTCAACCCTGCCCTCTGAGCTGGTGCTGGCGAGAGCAGGCGCAGCATGTTCATGTGCTCCTGAAGTCCGGGGTCCCGGGTTCTCTTGGTCTTCCTGTGTCCCCAGGCCCCCTTTTGGCAGAAGATGGTCAATATAGATTTGCCAGTTGGACGGCATGAGTCTGCTGAGAAGACACAATCGGGCAGGAAGGAGATGGTGCAGGGAGCAGCCAACAGGAAGCACGCCTCCTTTACCTTCCACTGGCAGAGACTCCAGTGCCACATTGGGGCCATAGCGGGGCCCACCCTCTGGTTGGTCAAATTCTAGGCACAGATCTGAGCCATGGTAATAATGCAAGCACAGGGGCCAGCAGGTGGCGTGGTGGTTAAGGCAGCTGGGCTTCCACATGGCTAACCACGGTTCGAGTCCTGGACCTAGCAGCTTGCTTTCTCACTTTCCTTCTCTCTTTCTGTCTCTCTCTGGTCAACTTCAATAAAATAAAATAATGACAATGGGTAAAATTAAATAAAATAATTCTAAAAAAAATATAATAATAATGCAAGCACATTCCTAGGTTCAGAGTCCCACCACTTCGGCACTTTGACTTTTTAGTGTATCTTTGGGGCTCCAGGCCTTCTATCTTTTCTTTTGTAAAATAATTCTTTTATTTATTTATTAATTATTATTATTATCATTATTTTTCATTTGACCAGAAAGATACAGAGAGAGAAAGGAAAGTGAGAAAGGAGGCTGCCAGGTCCGAGATCCAAACCTGTAGTCGGCCATGTGGGAGTCCAGTGTCCCAGCCACCATGCCGCCTGCTGGTCCTCCAGGCCTTCTATCTTGACAGAGCCCCTAAATCCTCACAGGTACTCTTTTATTCTCTTTGATTGTTTTTTTTCCTTCTCATCCTCAGGGCGGCAGAGATGGAGGAAATTTTCTGGATGATGCTCTCGTGAGACAGGATGCCCAGGTTAGTAAAACTGTGGCTGCTTCCAGTTTTCTGCTCTTTTGCCACTAAGACAGGCCTGAGGAGGTGGACAGCCTCTTACACTTAGGTCTGTATTAGCCAGGCGGGCTCTTTATGAAAAGGAGGGTCCCTTTAACAACAGAGGTTTCTCGTAGAGGTACCTCGTTTGGGAGTGGCACTGACATCAATACGTAAGCACCCCAGGGTTCCAGCGTTCCTGACATTGGGGTGAGTGTGTCGCAGGCCCAGAGAACCACTGAGTACCTTAAATCACCTGGAGGTGAAGGGCCCTGCCTTTACTCTGTTAATTGTGCGTTTTTATTGCCCCGAAGAGAACATTAGATAGGATTTAAGTAAAACAGCTTGGCAGAATTTGTACCCCGTTGGGAGAGTAATTTCAAACCCCGAGAGGCAGTTGCTACCCAGCCCACTGATGGTTGCCCTGGCACCAACCCAGGTCTAATCAGCCTGACCAAATAACAGTAGCTAATAAAAAATGGGTCCTTGTCAGTTACCGAATGCTGTCCTCAGCACTTCACGCGAGTAACCCACTGAGTTCTTGCACTACCCCCATGAGATCACTGTGGCCGTTTCCATTTTTCAAACAGGGAAATTGAGGCTCGGATCAGTCCACTTCCTTACTGAGGGTCAGACAGATAACAAATGGCAGAACTGGAGTTTGGATCCAAGCAATTTATATCTAGGCCTTATGTTCTTTTCTTGGTGTGCACATGTGCGTGTGTGTGTCTGTGAAGTTTTTTCCCCCAGAGGGTGTGTGTGCTTGACAGAGACAGAGAGGAAGAGAAAGCACTCCCTAGTGGGGCGTGGTCATGCTGTGGTCCTTTTTTTCCCATTTCTCCATCCTGTCAGATTTTTTTTTTTTTTATGAGAGGTTTTTGCTATAGGGCATGTGTGCTCGCCAGAAAGACAGAGACAGAGAGACAGAAAGCAAGAAATCACCCCCAGGGGGGATGGCCACGCTGCAATCCCTTCTTCTCCATTCTCCTCTCAGGATCTCAGGCATGCACGCACACATGCGCCTGGTGTGAGTTTAAGCCACCGGGTCTGGGACTCGAACCGCAATCGACTACATGGGAGTCCAGTGACATAGCCATTACGCCAACTGCTGGTCCCATCCTGTCAGAATTTTGAGCACGTATGTACATGTACCTGGCTTGTTTATCAAGCTGCCAGGGCTGGGATTTCCCATCAGTCAGATGGGATCCAGCTCCCCATGCACAAGGCTTAACCACTGCCCTGTGGGGCCAATCCTGTGTGCCGTGTCTTAGACAGGGTCTCTCACCCTGTTGCAGTCCTCTTGCCACAGCTTCCCAAGGAGCTGGGGTCACAGCTGTTCACCATTACACTCAGCTCTTTCAGAAAGGGTCTCACTACGTTACCCACATGGGCCATAAGCTCATGATCCTCTTGTTGCTGCCTCCAAAGTAGCTGCAGCTACGAGTGCACACCACCATGCCTGGCTTTCTAGGGTGGGCTGGGAACTGAAGTCAGACCTCCTAGGTGGCCTTTCCCTGCCAAGCAGGAACATCTAGCACACGTTAGGCTGGCTGGGCATAGACCCCGTATTCTTTTTTCTGTTTTTGGTTTTTAATTTCATCCATATCTGAGACATGATTTTTTTTTCTTTCTTTTTTCTTTTTTTGGGGGGAGAGGTTTTTGCTATAGGCGCGTGTGCTTGCCAGACAGAGAGAGACAAAGAGACAGAAAGCGAGAAATCACCCCCCCCCCCGGGGGGATGGCCATGCCGCAATCCCTTCTCCTCCATTCTCCTCTCGGGATCTTGGGCACGCACGCACACGCGCCTGGCGTGAGTTTAAGCCACCAGGTCCGGGACGCAAACCACAGTCGACTACATGGGAGTCCAGCGACATAGCCATTACGCTAACTGCTGGTCCCTGAGACATGATTTTTTAAAAAGAATGATTTTATTTAACCTTATTGATTCATTTTCATTTGACCAGAGAGGGACAGAATGAGAGAAAGAGAGAGAAAGTGAGAAAGCAAGCCTCTAGGTCCAGAACTAGAAACACAGTTGGCCATGTGGGAATCCAGCACCCTTAACCACCACTCCACCTGCTGGCTCCAGACCCTGAATTCTTAACCACTGCACAACCATAGTGAGGGATTGGTCCCTTCAGTGTGCAATGTACGAACCACTGTGGTTTATGCAGAAAACAACCTGTTGCTTTCATTAGAAGGGAGAAGGGTATGTGTGTGGTTTGGGCTTCTTGGAGCACGTTGGCTGGGTATTTAGAGGGAGCACCCTAAATGTAAGCAAACATGTCAGTAGAACCAATGGAAACTGTGTGACTGCTTAGGATCCTGCCTTGGAAATCAGTGTCACTTCCTCCATACTTAATTAGTTACAGCAGTGTATTAAGGTTTCCCAGTGAAACAGAACCAGTAGGATATGCGATTTACTGTGAGGAATCAGCTCATGAGACTGTGGAAGTGGGCAAGTACCAACATCTCCAGGGGGAATCAGCAGGCTGGAGACCCAGGAGAGCTGATGGTTTTGACTCTCATCTGAAGGTCCTAGAATCAGGAAAGCTAGTAGCTTTCAGCTTCAGATGTTCCTGTCTGAAGGTCAGCTGACTCAAGACCCCGAAAAGCCATTGGTTCAGTTCAAGTCCAAAGGCAGGAAAAAAACTGATGTCTTAGCTCAAGGCAGTTAGGCTGAAGGAGTTCTCCCTTACTCTTGGGAGGGTCAGCCTTTTTGTTCTACTGAGGCCTTTAATTGATTGCATGAGGCCCACCTTATTAAGGAGGGCAATCTGTTTCTCTCAATCTACCAATTCAAATGTTAATCTTGGGGGCTGGCTGGTGGTTAGGGGCGTTGGACTCCCAGTGTAGACCCAAGGACCAGGACCTGGAGGCTTGCTTTCTCACTTTCTCACTTTCTCTCTCTCTTCACCCCCATCTCTCTGGTCAAATTAAAATAAATCAGTAAAGTTAAATAAAATAATTCTTTTTTTTTAAAAAGTGTTAATCTTATCCGCAAACACTCTTACTGAAATACCCAGAATAATGTTTGACCAATATCTGGGCGCCTGTGGTCCCATCAGTGCACACACATAAGACAGGTAGGTAAGCTTTCATAAGCCCGTTGAGATTCATATTTAAGAAGTGCTGAAGTAGATGGACTCGTTGAGCCTTTTCCTACTTTAAAAGGTTATGATTATGTGACAGGGCCAGCAGATGGCGTGGTGGTTAAGGCACTGGACTCCCACCTGGCCAACCATGGTTCAAGACCTGGCAGCTTGCTTTGTCACTTTCCCTCTCCCTGTCTTGTGCATGCTCTCTCTCTCTCCCTGTCTCTCCCTGGTCAAATTAAAAGATAATGATAATAAACAAAGTTAAATAAATTCTTTTTTATAAAAGATTATGATGACATGAATTGACTGTCAAGCAATGAGTGACTCAGAGACCGAAGTGAAGCAGCAGAGGAGTAGATGCGTATAAGCACCATGAGTGACAGTCTGTGTTAGTTAACACCATTGTAAGAATGAAAACTTCTATAGCCTCAGGCAAATTGGAGATTATTCTGGGCAGGGCTGACCAATAGAACTTTCTGTGATGAAAACATTCCATATCTACTCTGTTCTGTATGGATAGCCACTGGCCACATGTAACCACTGAGCACTTGAAATGTGGCTAGTGTGACTGAGGAGCTGGATTTTTAATTTTATTGTCTTTTAACTCATTGAAATTTTCTTTCTTTCTTTCTTTCTTTTTTTTTTTTTTTTTTTGAGAGGTTTTTGCTATAGGGCATGTGTGTTCACCAGAGACAGAAAGCGAGAAATCACCCCCCCCTCCAGGGGGGATGGCTGTGCTGCAGTCCCTTCTCCATTCTCCTCTCAGGATTTTGGGCATGCACGCCCAGCATAAGTTCTAAGTCACTTGGTCTGGAACTTGAACCACATCAACTACGTAGGAATCCAGCGACATAACCATTACACCATCTACTCCCTAGTTCATTGAAATTTTCATAGCTACATGTGGTTAGTGGCAACTCTGTGGGACAGCCCCAATCTAGGATGTTCCTTTTAGCTCTTCAGAGTCGTGTAATCTGCCTACAGGGCAGTGCAGATGTTTGTCCTGTCTCCCAGGGTGGTATTACAGGGTCCTGTCTGTCTGTGCCTAGGGAGAAATCTTGAGTCATTTCCCCTCATCACCACTACTTCCACCTCTTCACCAACAAAATCAAGCCAAGCCAGTACAGCTCTTTGGAGTTCTGGATACACTTGCATATTTCCTGGCCTGTCCTCTTTGGTGTTTATAACTTGTGCTTTGTTTGATTTCAGGACCTGTATGAGGCTGGAGAAAAGAAATGGGGGACAGACGAGGTGAAATTTCTAACTATTCTCTGTTCCCGGAATCGAAACCATCTGCTGCATGGTAAGGCACTTACGTCATTTGCCAAAGAAAGGGCCTGAAAGAGTGAAAACTGTATGCCCATAATTAATTGGAAACCTTTCTCCCTTAACTCAGTACAGAGAACTGATTGTACTCAACTGTCTTAGATTTTACCTTGGAGATGTACGAGTCCAATGATGTGCGTGAGGGCCAATTTCTAAAAGATTAATGATGAATAATTAGCAGATACATGATGTATTCATAGAAATTTGGCATTCCCGTTTCTAGGAAACCGACCTTCGTAGTCAACCCTTGTTCTAAAGCAGTCCCAAGACTTTCATTTTAATTTAGTTACATAAGAAAATAATCTTGAGCACAGCAGCAAGCAATAAAATAGAAATGTTGGTTGATGTT